GAAGATCAGGTGACCGTAGGTGGATGGATTTACATCTGGGTTCTCAGTTCTGTTCCATTGGTCAATGTATCTGTTGTTGTACTTCTGACATCTATTTTTGTTTTCTCTTTCTTTCCTGTCTTTTTAATGACATCTTACTTTCTTCATGTGTGATGTTTTTGATGTCATTCCACAACTCAGCAGGTCTTCACTCATTAGTGTTCAGTATGTTAAATCTATTCTGGAGATGGTCTCTAAATTCAGGCGGGATATAGTTGAGGTATTTTGGCTCTTGTGGACTTGCTCTAATTTTCTTCAGCTTTTAACTGAATTAGCATGTGAGCAATTGATGGTCTGTTCCACAGTCAGCCCCTGGCCTTGTTCTGACTGATGATATTGAGCTTCTCCATCATCTCTTTCCACAGATGTAGTCAATTTGATTCCTGTGTATTTCGTCTGGTGAGGTCCACATGTACAGTCAACGTTTATGTTGTTGAAAAAAGGTATTTGCAATGAAGAGGTCATTGGTCTTGCAAAATTCTCTCATGAGATCTCCAGCGTTGTTTCTATTATCACACCATATTTTCCAACTACCAGTCCTACTTCTTTGTTTCTAACTTTCATATTCCAATCACGAGTAATTATGAATGCATCTTGATTGCATGTTTGATGAATTTCAGACTGCAGAAGTTGGTAAAAAATCTTCAGTTTCTTCATCTTTGACCTTAGTAGTTGGTAGGTAAATTTGAATAATAGTTGTATCAACTCGTCTTCCTTGTAGGCATATGGATATTATCCTATCACAGACAGCTTTGTACTTCAGGATAGATCTTAAATGTTCTTTTTGACAATGTATGTGACCTTTCCTCTTCAATTTGTCATCCCAGCATAGTAGACTATATGATTGTACAATTCAAAATGGCCAATACCAGTCGATTTCAGCTTACTAATGCCTAGGGTATTGAAGTTTATGCATTCCATTTCATTTTTGACAATTTCTAATTTTCCTAGATTTATATTTTATACTTTCCACTTTCCGATTATTAATGGATGTTTGCAGCTGTTTCATCTCATTTTGAGCCATGTCACATCAGCAAATGAAGGTTCCAAAAGCTTGACTCCATCCATGTCATTAAGGTCAACTCTACTTTGAGGAGGCAGCTCTTCCCCATCGTATTTTAAGTGCCTTCCAACCTGAGGGACTCATTTTCTGGCACTGTATCAGACAACGTTCTGCTGCTATTCACGAGGCTTTTATTAGCCAATTGTTTCATCCTTAGAACACCACGTCCTTCTTCCTAGTCTGTCTTAGTCTGGAAGCTCTGTTGAAACCTGTCCACCAGTGGTGACCTTGCTGGTATTTGAAATACCAGTGGCAAAGCCTCCAGTATCACAGCAACAGGCAAACCACCACAGTACAACAGAGTGACAGACTTGTGGTGGGGAATATATATAAACATAAAAAATTTACAAGTGTACATACAAGCACAGACATTTATGTACATATACTTTTCCAATCAGAGAATATTTTAAAAATTCTTATTTTTGTAATGCCTTTAGCATTTCATTTTTTTAAAATTTTATTGTGCTTCAGAAGAAAGTTTACAGTGCAAATTAGTTTGTCATTCAAAAATTTATACACAAACATTTTTGTGACATTGGCTGCAAACCTCACATTGTATCAGGACTCTCCCCCTTTCCCTCTCCACCCTGGGTTCCCCGTGCCCATTCCTCCAGTTTTCCTGTCTCTTCCTGCCTTCTCCTCTTTGATTTTGAGAAAGTGTTGCCTATTTGGTCTCATATACATGATTGAACTAAGAAGCACACTCCTTACGTGTGTTATTGTTTATTTTATAAACCAAACCAAATCCATTGTATTGCATAATTGACTCTGATAGTGACTCTGTCTCCTAAGATGCCACCATTTCTCTACATAGAATCCAGCACATTTGAGAGATGATACCTGCTTTGCTGCTGATGTGATGGCTCCCTCCAAAACATCCAGATTTTGGTTCATTAATGCCAGTGCCTCTTCACGAGATGTTGGTTTTAGGCGGTACTAGGCAATATCTCTACATGTTCATAAACAGCTGCAATAAAAGTTTCCACGGCACTGACTTCTAAGATGCAGAAAGCCAAAAATGCCACATAAGCCATCAACTGAGAAGCGATCATGCTGATGCCCAATGATTGCTGAAAAAACAGAGACTCCTGACATTTATAGAGAGAAAACACAATCAATCACATGGTTGTCAGATGCTAGTATTTTAAAAATAAATTACAAAAACCAATTTTATAAACATATGGTTCCATATCATTCTTCGACAAAAAATGACCTTTCCTTATTGCAGGGTCTGTGAGGATCAAATGAGCAAATGTGTGTAAATGATTTGAAGAATAACTAGCTTTACAGTTGTGAAATTATTGTTACTATCATCATGGGAATATTCGAACTCTGCACTTTTATTCACTTTAGTTTCCTCAAAATGGACAAGTCAGAACAGAGGAGAAATACAAAGGGGATACTATTCAGTATTGCTGTGTATCAAACTATCAGAAAATACAGTGGCTTCAGAGAACACATAGTTTATCTAAGGGTCTCTCTCACAAGACTGCAGTCACACTTTTGGCCTAGGCTGCAGCATCTCATCACCTCAAACTTTCCCTCAGGGAAGATTCACTTCCAAGCTCTCTCATGGGGCTAAGGGCAGGCCTCAGGTCCTCTCTAGCTATTGCCCAAAGTCATCAGTTCCTTGCCCTGTAGGACCTTCCACAGAATGCAATTACAGCCCTGCACATTCTCTCTTTACCCCTTCCTGGGAGCAGGAATATGGTCGTGGCCACAACTCAGCTTTGACTGTGTAGACCAGGAACACACTCTAAAGTATTGTAAAACCAGAGGGTAAAAGTGACTCAGGCCCATAATGACCATGTGGTGCTGACCTACCTCACCACATGATCTGCTCACCTCAGGACTATTACATACAAAGAAATAAGTTCATGTTCTTCAAGTCACTTTATTCTAGGCCTCTTTGCTATAACAACTTAGACTTTACCAAAAATAAAGTAGAAAAATATCTGTGAAGAACCAGCACAAAGCAATATTCAATACTATCAGCTGGTAATATCACTAGAGGTGAGAAGGTACTATCACTACTTCAGTGAAGAAATACAGTGTTGAGGAGATGTACCTTAAGCAAGATCTGGAGGAAGAGAAGAATGTTGATGGGATAAGACAGAAGAGTATTTCAAGTGTGGCGGGGATGGAGAAATGGGCATGAAATGATCAATGGCAGCAAAGCTCAGCATGTTGATGGTGAATTGAGTCAGTATGCCTGGAGGGGAGGGTTGGCATTGAAGGCTAGTAATGAAGGAGATAAGGACCATCACAGAGATGACCTTGTGTTGGAATAAGGAATCTGCTCTTCCTTCAAGGAAAGTTTTTGAGCAAGGTTTTAAAATTACTCAGGTTCACTTAAAATTTCCCAAATACCTACTCTGAGTCACACAACAGAGGCATTAAATCTCTGGCACTTCTGGAAGATTTAGCATTACCAGCTGAAAGAAAGTACTCAGATGGACAATCACAGTACTTGCTGTAGCATACCATCAGCTGGAACTGGAACTGGAGAGGCACCAACAGCCTCTGTTACAGCTGCTGAGCTGCATCTGGAACAAGGATCTCCTGATCCCTAAGCCCACTGCACTGCCTTTGATTAGCAAGCTACAGCCTGCCACAGCTCACAGAATGTAGTCTTTCTGTTTGTAAGAGTAGAGAGACTGGGGGAATTGTCTCCAGTGAAACTACCCTGAATCTAGAGGGAAGTCTTAACTGGTACCTCTAGACTCCTCCAACCAAAATTGAGTGGATGGAGAAGATTACCTCCTGGGAGGAAAATGTGACATCCCACTAGGCACAGGGAAAATGTGCCTAGAGGAAAAGACAAGAACCACAGTAGTCTGGGCTTTGCTGACAGAGTATAGATGACACAAACCCAGACAGCAGGCCCTAAAAGGAAGCCAGCAGTAAGTCCTGCCCTGCCCGAGCAGAGAAAACAAGAAAGAAGGGAAAGGAGGAGAGAAGAAGGACTGAGTGGGGCAGCACTGGCTCTTGCACTTATCTATGTCTCCAGCACCTAGCACAGTGCCTGGTACACAAAAGGCCTAATAAGCGTGGCACTTAAAGGAATAGACTAATTCCTGTCCCAGTATTACCACTAGCTTGCTGTTGGACCTTGGGCAGCTTGCTTTCCTTGGATTTCAGCTGATCCAGCTAATTTAGTCAATTCAGTGATCCAGGGAAGACAATATACATACTGACTCACAGGGTGGTTTTGAGGGTGAGGGGAGATGTGCACTTCAGGACACATGGTGAGCTCTGAAGAGACACGTGCATGCATGTGTGTGTATATGTGTACAGGTGTGGGAGGATATGTATGATAAAGATTAAAAATATACCTCTGTGTTGCTACTAAATATATTTGTCTATATATTAATATTTAATGACTAGAACATCATGTCAATTTTCTTTTAACATTTTTCCTGTTAATAAAGTTCAATACTATTTAAGAATGTATATTTTTCCTATAGGACTTGTATTAGTCAGCATTCTCCAAAAAAGCAGAAACAGAAACAGAACCAATAGGAGATAAAACCAAAAAAACCAAACCCGTTGCCTTCGAGTTGATTCCGACTCATAGAGACCCTATAAGACAGAGTAGAACTGCTCCACAGGGTTTCCAAAGAGTACCTGCTGAATTCAAACTGTCAGTTAGCAGCCGAACTCTTAACCACTAAGCCACCAGGGTTTCTAATAGGAGATATATATCTTATATATATGAGATAGAAATAGGTTTATTTTAAGAAATTGGCTTACCCAGTTATGGAGGATGGCAAGTCCAAAATGTGTAGAGTAGGCCTGCAGGCTGGAAACTGAGGCAGGGACTGATGTTATGGTCTTGAGTTCAAAATCTGTAGGGCAAACGGCAGGCTGGAAACTCATCTCTGCAGGAGGTAGTGTTACAGTCTTGAGGTAGAATACTGTTTTCACCGGGTAACTTCGCTATTTCCTTTAAGGTCTGCCAACTGATTGTATAAAGCCCACCCACATTATTGAGCGTTAACTCCTTTACTTAAAATCAACCTACTGAGGATGTTAATCACAGCTATAAAAATACCTTCACTACAGCACCTAGATTAATGTTTGATTAATAACTGGCCTAGCCAAATTGACATGTAAAACTTTTTTTTTTTTTTTTAATGTAACCTGCAAACATTATTACGTGGTCTGAACTGGTTCTCATGGGGAAAAATAAATATAACCATTTCTCACCAATGAGTTATACTCTGCTGCCTCAGAAATACTTGTTGAAGCCAAAGAGTGGTTTCATTCTCCAAAGGAAGCATTTAGAAGAGGAAGACATAGCTGTAGGACTGAGTCCAGCAGAGCTTCTCATTCGTAAGTCATGGTAAATAAAATCAGGAGTGGGGACGTGGGGATGTAGGGGTGGTAAGAGCCAAAAGAGGTCAAAGAAAATCAAAATTGTGGGACACTAGAAGGTCCGTGTTAGAAGAAGTATAGCCAGAATGCTCCTTAGAAGCAAAGATGACAAAACTTCGTCTCACATACTTTGGACATGTTATCAGGAGGGAACAGTCCCTGGAGGAGGACATCATGCTTAGTAAAGCAGAGGGTCAGCAAAAAAGAGGAATACCCTCAATGAGATGTATTGACACAGTGGGTGCAACAATGGGCTCGAGCATAACGACGATTGTGAGGATGGCACAGGACCAGGCAGTGTTTCATTCTGTTGTACACAAGGTCTCTATGAGTCAGAACTGACTCAATGGCACTTAGCAACAGCAACAGAAAATAAAGGGTAAAAACAACTTCAAGAGGGGCAGCTTGACTGTTTCATCATCAAGAGTAAACATTGAGAAGCCCCCTCAGGTTTGGTGGTATTGAAGTCCCCTATAATAGCGAGGAAGGAGTTCTGGTAGCATAATGGCTAAGCTCTTGGCTGCTAACAAAAAGGTAAGCAGTTTGAACCCACCAGTCACTCTGCAGGAGACAAAACCTCGTGCTCTGCTCTGTAAAAATTACAGCCTAGAAACCCTATGAAGCAGTTCCACTCCATCCTATAGGGTCACGGTATACAACAACATAACAGAGAGGAAGGGGCGGACGACTTGCATAAGAGTGCTTAGGGTGAAGACTGGGAGGAAAGAATCTGGGGCTACCAGCTTAATAACACAACCTCCAGACAACTGTCTAGGAGAGAGAAAAAGAAGCCAAAAAAGAACTAATCTGAGGCAATGAGGAGGGAAGATGCCAGCATCACAGGCAGACAGAGGAGCCCAGGGCACAGGTATAATCATTGAATCAGACAAGTTATAGCCCCTGGAGAAAGAATCCAGGAAAGACGGTAGCAGAGGAAGCCAAGAGCATTTTCTGCTGCCCAGATTGTCTCCAGTTCCCTAGCACTGGATTGAATTATTATACTGGGTGGGATAAACAACTAGGGAAAGTCTAGGAAAGCAAATGTCATGCCTTTTGTGAGGAAAAAGAAATGTCTCCAAACTCAGAGTGATCCTCAACCTCTCCCACATAACAGGGAGAGACCACGCCCTGGTGTACTTCTCTCCCCAGAGTTAATCAGTGGCCAACCAGGAAAAGGATTCAGGGAGCCAGGGTCAATGGACAAAGGGTAGCTGGGTAAAGGCCACAGGACAGTCCTTTTAAGGAAGCTCCCAGCCTAGCACCAGAAAACCAAAAACCAAACCTGTTGCCATCGAGTCGATTTCGACTCACAGCAACCCTATAGGATAGAGTAGAACCGCCCCATACAGTTTCCAAGGAGAAGCTGGTGGATTCGAACTGCCGTCCTTTTGTTAGCAGCTGAGCTCTTAACCACTGTGCCAGCAGGGCTCCCAGCCTAGCACAGTCCTCCCCAAATCTCTGAGTATTTAAGGAGATTAACCAGGATTGGGTAGATTTTAGTATAGAATAATTTCAGAAAGAAATAGGTCTGAAGGAGATCATTTATTTCTATTTTATTAACATTCTAAGTATCTAATTACCATACAAATAGTCCAGAAGAGTCAAATAGGTTATGATAAAGAGATAACAGAAAAATTTTAATTAGTTAAAAAGTTATTTGTGATTAATTTAACAGATTCCCTTTTCTTTAACAATTTCCTATGGCTTGATTGACTGGGATCAAATAGCCTTCATTTTCAAAGTTAACCAGAGTTCACCTGAATCAGTCTCTGGAATATTTGCTATGATATGGAAACTACATTTGCATACAATAGAGCAGTTAATGCAAAAGAATTTTTCTAGGTCCCCATCCATGTAAATGTATGTTTCATTATGATACATATACACACTTAAACACGCATACATTGAAGAGTAATACAGCTCCCATAGAAGAGTCTGTTGTACACCAAATGTGTGAAATGTAAAATTTGCACTCACATCCATTGCTTTTTAAATTTTTTGTTTGTTGTTTCAATAAGTTTATGACATCTATTCTAAATAGATGCTAAGTGCTCTCTTTTCTTTCTCTTCGCTTTTGGCAGATTAATCCTGAAAGTGTACAGGTGAAGGAGAACGCTGTGACTTCCCAGGCCCCTGCCCTAAGCGTGGAGGATCTTTCTCAAACACTCTTCCGTACAGGGCCATAACTACAACAGGCAGAGAGGCTCCACTTTGGCTCCTTAGACGACCATCTCTTGAAACCTGATCAAAGAAAGCAAAGGGTTAACTCCAACGCAATGCTTGGCTTCCAGTCCAGAGGACTTCTCTGGCAATCACACTCTAAAAGCAGTATAATCTGTTGCAGTAGAGTAGATTCCTGGCAACCCTATAGGACAGAGTAGAACTGCTTCATAGGGTTTCCAAGGAGTAGCTGGTGGATTCGAACTCTTGACCTTTTGGTTAGCAGCCGAGCTCTTAACTGCCACATCACCAGGGCTCAGAAGCAGTATAGAAGAGTGAAAAACACACAAGGTTTGGTGTCAGATGACACACATTCATGTTCCACGTCTACTAGTTGAGGGACTGTTATGAGCTGAACTGTGTCCCTCAAAAAAGATATGTTGAAGTCCTAACCCCTGGTACCTGTGACTGTGACTTTATTTGAAAATAAGGTCTTTGCAGATGTAACCAAGTTAAGATGAGATCATTAGGGTGGGCTGTAATCCAATATGACTGGTGTTCTTATGAGAAAAGAAAACAGAGAGAGATACATAGGGAAAATGCCATGTGATGACTGAGGCAGAAATTAGATTGTTGTGTCTACAAGCCAGGAAATGCCAAGGATTGCCACCAACACGAGAAGCTAAGAAAAAGACATAGGACAGATGCTCCCCTGGAATATTCAGAGAGAATATGCCCGGGCCAACACCTTGATTTCAGACTTCTGGCCTCCAGAACTGTGAAGGGATAAATTTCCATTGTTTTAAGCCACCCTGTTTGTGATGATTTATTAAGGCAGCCCTTGGAAACTAATATAAGGACTTTGGGTGAAAATGCAGCAAATAATTCTATTGCATAAGGTGGTCAAAATCAAGTAGGATCAGGTATAAACAAGCGTTCTTTAAACTAATGAAACACTGTAACCAAACCTGTTGCCGCTGAGTCCGTGTCAACTCATAGCAGCCCTATAGGACAGAGTAGAACTCGCCCTTAGGGTTTTAAAGGCTGTAATCTTTATAGAAGCAGACTGCCACATCTTCCTTCCGCAGAGTGGCTGCTGGGTTCCAACTGTCTACCTTCGGTTAGCAGCAGAGCACTTAACTACTGCGCCACCAGGGCTCCTTAATGAAACATTATACAAAATATTAAGCATTACTATGGCACAGTGGTTAAGAGCTTGGCTGTTAACCAAAAGATCAGCGGTTCGAATCCACTAGCCTCTTGGAAATTCTATGGGGCAGTTCTACTCTGTCCTATAGGGTCGCTATGAGTTGTAATCAGCTCGATGGCAAATGGTTTTTTGTTTTTTTAAAATCAATATAACAAGTTTTCAAAATAATACACTCACAAAATAAGTTGTCAAAACATTATTCAATGTATTTAATTGGGACATTCTACACCATGCAAATGAAGAGAACATTTAGTTACCTCTGGATCTCAATATCAAATTTATGTAGAAAAATGAACCCTGACTTCTCTATCACAGCCTAAAGACAATCTAGAACCACAACTTATGATGCAAATCATAGCTTCCACATGTCTTTAAAGTGTCACATGGAGTGTGAACCGCAATATTACAATACTGTCTCATTTACTCGTCTACCCATCGGTTCAAAGAAATTTATCATCTTGAGAACCTCCTACCTTATAATATCTCTCAGGGGCAAGTTGGCTCCCACTTAGAACAATCTGTGGGAAAACATAACTCGTTCCAAATGTGCCACTGAGGGAGAATTCTTCAAACTTGGTAAACGCTGACCCCACAGGCTCCCCACAAGTTTTCAAGTCAGTGGTTTGACACTTCAGTAATGTGCATATCTATGTAGGAAAAGAAAAAAGAAACGGTCAGAAATACTGGAGCAATAGAAAGAGAGAACTTTTCTCAGCTAAATAATACTGTTTCAAAGGACAGAGGAGTGTTTGTTCAGTTGCCTCTTAAGCAGGGTTTTTTCAAACTGCAGTTCACAACCTATCAGTGAATCCTGAAATTAATTTACTTGGTCAGGATGAGCATCTTTTTAATGAAACCAGGCGGAATATGCTAGAATTTTCGAAGTTAGAGTGTATTGTACATAATTATTGCTATTTCCAATTCTACAATCAACTGAATCCAGCACAATTTTGAAAGAAATGCGATGATGAACAACAAAACTAATAATAAAATCACTCTGTTGTTTAGTTTCTGTGAAGTGGATTCTAACTCATGGTGACCCCATGTGTGCATAGTAGAACGGCTACAAAAGATTTTCAAGGCCTTTCAGAAGCAGATCGCCAGGAATTAATTCCAAAGTGCCTCTGGATGTGTTTGAACTGCCAACTTTTTAGTTAGTAGTCCAGGGCTTAAGAAGCCCTGGTGGCACAGCAGTTAAGAGCTTGACTGCTAACCAAAAAGCAGGCTCCTCGGGAGAAAGATGTGACAGTTCGCTTACGTAAAGATGACAACCTTGGAAACCCTCTGAGGCAGTTCTACTCTCTTATAGTGTCACTGTGAGTTGGAATTGACTGGATCACAATGGGTTTTTTTTTTAAGTCCAGGACTTAACCACTTGTACTACACAGAGACTCCAAAATTGTTCTAAGATCTGTATATTTAAACATGTCTACCTGTAAGTAATATTGGCCTTCTACTGTGTGCAGCCCATTGAAAGCACCGAGTGCATACACCTCATCTTTTCGCTTCTCAGACATCTTGTAAGTTAAGTGGCAACACAAGTCTTTTTGGCAAACTGTGTAATTTCCTGTGTTTTCCTTAAGCTCAGTGAAAGTGAATTCATCAAAGTAAATCATTCCTGGAAAATCTGACTGCCCAGATGAGAATGGTTTGGCACTTCTGGCATAAGCGCTCCAGTCAACAGCTGCCGGGTAGGTGGGTTCACGGCGAGGCTGGGACTTCAGTTCTGATAGCATCAGCTGGCCACTTTCCGTTTCCATGTCATAATGGTACACCTTGACTGCTTCCGGTGCATAGATTCCACTCCCTGCAGTGGATATAAAAAAATACAACCATTGGTTTCAAAAATTTTCATGGTCCCAAATTAGTAGAAATAGTCCCATTGGAAATTAAATAGGAAGTTATTAAAATATAACCCACTTTCAAGATAGTTAAGAAGATAGCTGTTACAGTGGCATAGGATTTCATTTGATTCTTTGCATCTTTCATGAGGTATTCATGCTGAACTTATCGTTTGAACTGGATAGTTTATTTACAACTTAAGGAAGCCCTGGTAGCACAGCAGTTAAGCGCTTGTCTGCTAACCAATAGGTCAAGGACTCGAACCCACTAGCCACTCCGAGGGAGAAAGATGTGGCAGTCTGCTTCCATAAAGGTTACATCCTTGGAAATCTATGGGGCAATTCTACTCTGTACTATGGGGTCGTCATGAGTCGGAATTGACTGGATGGCACACAACAATATTTACAACAAAAGATACCCTTTAGTTTTGCCAACTTAACAACAAACTGAAAATTCCCCACGCAGCTCTCCACAGACCTATTTAATTTATTTGTGTTTGTGTTTTCTCATCTAGATAAATGATTAACAAAGCAGTTAAGAGGGGAGAACTTAGTCTACATCACCTTGAACATGGATACTATAAAAGACAGACTAAAAATCTAATTAAGTCTAAAGTGCTATCATCCCCTCAGCAGCAAAAATTATTCCACTGTTATTAATAAAATAGACGTTGGCTGGGAAATTCCTTAGATCTGGTTTTGATTTTTTATGTGAGTTGACTTCTCTCTAATTTCCTCTCATGTGAAATTGAAATGATATTTGCCTTTTTCTTCATTCATAGAGATAACATCCCTAAAACAATGTTGGTATAGAAATTTGTGCTATTATTCATTCTGTGATATTAGAGTTCATGAAAGAATCATTAAAGAAAAGCATGACTTGAAAATATCCTTAGATGGTCACTGCCACTTGGGGCATGACAGGTGTGAGGTACCTGTCATGTGCATGCTGGTGTTGTGGGTGTTTGCAGCTAGGAGATTGACTCTCATGGCTCTGGCCCATGCCGACTGGAAGGGAACAGCCGAGAGGAGGGGCAGCGTGTTGTACCAGGCCACCGGGTAGAGTACGCTGTCAACTTGAAAGTCATCCACCACAACCACAGCCGGGTCATGAGAAAAAATATCAAAGCAAGTGAAAATGCCGAACTTCCCAAAGGGAGTCTCAAAAGTTACAACTTCTGAATCCTTGGGGAAATCAAACTGAATTTCAGGTGCAAAAAGATTGTACTGTTAACAAAAAGGAAAGAAAGGAAAATCAGCATGAAAACTGACAAGCAGATATAATCAACATCCATAAAAACTTTTTTCCCAGTGAATGTTGATGTGCATATTTAAAATTGTTACACATAAATTTGCATAAATTGCATCCAATCCTCCACTTTCTATATTAGTTTTCTTATTGTGATGTTGCCGGACCAATAAGCAACATCATCATAAAAGGAGACAATATTGAAGTTGTCAAGGACTTCATTTTACTTGGATCTACAATCAACGCACATGGAAGAAGCAATCACGAAATCAAATGACGTATTGCATAGGGCAAATCTGCTACAAAAGACTTCTTTAAAGTGTTAAAAAGCAAAGCTGTCATTTTGAGGACTAAGGTGCACCTAACCCAAGCCATGATATTTTCAACCACCTCATATGCATGTGAAAGCTGGACAATGAATAAGGAAGACCAAAGAAGAATCGATGCCTTTGAATTATGGTGTCGGTGAAGAATATTGAATACACCACGGTCTACCAGAAGAACAAACAAATCTGTCTTGGAAGAAGTACAGCCAGAATGCTCCTTAGAAGGGAAGGTGGTGAGGCTTCATCTCAGATACTTTGGACATGTTATCAGGAGGGACCAGTCCCTGGAGAAGGACATCATGCTTGGTAAAGTAGATGGTCAGCATAAAAGAGAAAGACCCTCAGAGAGATGGATTGAGACAGTGGCTGCAACAATGGGCTCAAAGATAGCAATGATTGCGAGGATGGTGCAGGACCCGGCAGTGTTTCGCTCTGTTGTACAGAGGGTTGCTATGTGTTGGAACCAACTTGACAGCACCTAACAAAAACCACACTGTGATGTTAACCAAAAATCTTTATTTTTCCAAAATCAATTCATAAAAGCATATGTCATATCTGTAAATTGTACTTAAATGTGAATATTTCTGACAAAATCACAGGCCGAAATTTGAAATTTTGCATCTTACTAATTTCACTGTATTCTTTTAAATATCAATTGCACTGCCTCCTAATGTATAACAAATGTAATAGCAAGTGTTAATAAATAACTTTGTCCTATCTCCCTATGATACTACTAGGTTTATATAACGGAAGTAAAGTAATTTTAAAGTGAATTGACACAATGCGACAGCTAATCTTGTTAATCAGTAAGCCATTAATAATTTTTTCAGCCTGATCATTGCTTCAATACTCCACTTAACCTGGAGTACAGCATCTATTTTGTTTGCTTTTCCACTCCGCACCCACATGGTAGCCCATCCTTCATCCCATAAAGATTGGCTCAGGGAAGTCATGGGGCCTAATTGCAATCAAGAAGTGATGAGGCTTTTGCAGAGTTTCCATTGAGGGAAAAGTACATGCTTCCTCTGAATTTTGTTGCTATACAAATGCGAACTTTGTGTTGTCACAGTCATGTGGATTCTAAAAGGAACGTCAGCCTGAGAAAACGCTGTAACGAAAGGCTAAGAGGGCTAGAGAAATGGATGGCACCTTTTGAGCATCTGGAAAAGGCTGCACCTAAAACTACTAGACCTACCCTTCTATTTTATATATATATATATATAGAGAGAGAGAGAGAGAGAGAGAGTCACATAAACAAGGAAATTTCCATTTTTTAGAAGTCAATTTCAGCTAGGGATTTCTATCATTGCAATCAAAATAGTCCTAATGAACCAAATGGTAGCTTAGCTTAGTATAAAATATTAACTAATGGGACAAAAAAAAAAAAAAAAAAAAAAAAAAACTAACCCTGAAATTAGATCATGAATTAAATGGAGAGTTTCTCCTTCTTTTTCAGGGAATATTAAAATCTTCCGAGGCTATTACCACATCCACGCTAATATTCTGTCATATTCTATTTTATGACTAATTCAAACTCAGAACCCTTACATGACACTGAAGTAAATAAACGATCTTTTCCAACTACAATACAATAATTAAGAGATGTAGCCATAAGAGTTCTCTCCCCAACATTCAACAAAGATACATACATAAACAAACAAACAAAAGAAGTAAATCAGGTTTAGCTAGGCACAGTAATTCTCACCTTATGGTAGCGTGCCACCAGTTTACCTTCAGAATCGAACACCACGTTAGTGTTGTACTGGTAACGGCCGTCAGCGGGGCACTGAGGGTCACTGGCATTGCATGGTTTCTTGTCCCCGATATTTGCCACAATGTAGATAGAATTGTCCTTGGCCAGGCAGCTGAGCCTTTCTTGCACTGGGGCGTGACCAAACCTAATTCAGTAGATACTGCTTTAAACTTACTATATTTTGGTGATTTCTGCATTACCAAAGTGATGCTGTATTTGCCTATTGTCTACGGCCCTACAGCTGTAGGTTAAGAATAAATAGAAAACATTTAAGAATTCCTTCTCAATAGAGGGTTCATCTTTGTGAACTCTAGCTTATTTTAATTGCCAGATTCCAGATTGCCACACAGTTAGTAAGAAGGAAGCACCAAAAAATGAACCATCACAGAGATGACCTTGGGGTTGGGATAAGGAATTTGCTCTTCATTCAAGGCAAATTTTTGAGCAAAGTTTTCAAATTAGTCAGGTTCACTTAAAATTTCCCATATACCTACTCTAAGTCACACTATACCAGAAACATTAAACCCCTGGCATTTCTGGAAGACCTAGCATTACCAGCTGAAAGAAAGTCCTGAGAAGGACAATCACAGTACTTGCCGTAGCATACCATCAGCTGGAACTGGAACTGGAGAGGAACCAACAGCCTCTGTTACAGCTGCTGAGCTGCATCTGGAACAAGGGTCTCCAGATCCCTAAGCCCACTGCACTGCCTTTGACTAGCAAGCTACAGCCTGCCAAAGCTCATGGAATGCAGTCTTTATGTTTGTAAGAGTAGAGAGGCTGGGGAAATTGTCTCCAGTGAAACTACCTTGAATCTAGAGGGAAGTCTTAACTGATACCTCCAGACTCCTCCAACCAAAGTTAAGTGCATGGAGAAGATTGCCTCCTGGGAGGAAAATGTGACATCCCACTAGGCAGAGGGAAAATGTGCCTAGAGGAAAAGACAAGAACCACAGTAGTCTGGGCTTTGCTGACAGAGTATAGATGACACAAACCCAGACAGCAGGCCCTAA